GTAAATTTCTTAGTATTATCGTTCTACAGTAATCGCAGTTTCTGTATCAAATTGATTTTCTATGGGGTGTCATAATGAATTGGCAATTTAAAGCAAAAAAACAAAATGAGTCGCTCTCATTTACTATTTCGTTATTTACTCTTTAGTTACGATTTATTTCTACTTTCCCATGGTTTCTGAACAATTCCGTATCTGGGGGCACGGTAGTGCCCCCGCCAAGTCGAGCGCGAGGCAAACACTGCCGTACCATCCTTTACTGGAACCATTTCGCCGCATTTTCAGGCCTCTATTTGAGAACCTCTGGATAAGACCAGAACGCTGAAATTTTCGTTATCTAGTAAGCTATAATCACATACTTAAAATCCAAAATTTCAAGTCTGTAGGTCATTTAGTTTCAAAGTTAAGCGAAAGCAAAGTTTCGCATTTATGACACTCACTCACTGATGATCATCAAAATAGAACTAGTACTTCCCATAAACTCAGAGAGCTGAAATTTGGTACAGAGTTAGGGTTTAATGACTACATAAAGGAAAAACTATAAAAACTAGGAAAATCGAAGATCTGGAGTAACACCACATTCATAATCAATACTACTAGCGCCACATACCGGCACCGTGGTGTTCGCCTATACCGCTCACCGCTAGATGGCGCTAGCACTTTGAGCGTCATTTTTCTGCACCGCGGTGTCCAGATGTTTTTTCCTTTCTAGATCGCCCCGTCGATTAAGTTGAATGTTGTGTAAATATTTGAATTTCGTTGATTTCGTTTATTATATGGTGAGGTTGGCTAAGGTTAATTAAGTTACTAAAACAACTTCTGCTTTGTTATCCATTTTAAAGGTCGTTTAGTTTATTTGTGTTTAATATTGTTAAAAAAATGTCGATAATTTTAAAAGAAAAGACGACGACGTTAAATAATTATGCCATTTTCTACAAAAAGAAGTGAAATCCCACCAAAAACATTCTGTAAAAAACTAGCCAAGTCTCGATGGAGCTGTTTGTTTATCTCTAAAAAGTAATGAAATCTAGACAAAGTCGTGCCAAGTCTATGGTTCCTTACTGCAATTTCTTTATTATTATAGTTAATGTTTTGTGACTTGGCCGTTGAACAATCTTTATAAGATAATCATACATAAATTATTATGGAAATACGGAGCTTTCAAAGTGGCAATTTTCCATCGTCAATGGGTAGCGGTTCTGGCGACAGATTGGTGCAATGGTGTCATGGAGCACCTGGTTTTGTACCCTTCAACGGCCAAGTCACACAACATTAACTATAATAATAAAGAAATTGCAGTAAGGAACCATAGACTTGGCACGACTTTGTCTAGATTTCATTACTTTTTAGAGATAAACAAACAGCTCCATCGAGACTTGGCTAGTTTTTTACAGAATGTTTTTGGTGGGATTTATTTTACACGGACAACAATAGCTGCACTCTGAATGGCTGTTGGCCTGACGTCTCCGCCATAACATCTATCGCGAAAATTAGTGAAAACGTGTGTGTTTTGTGGGATTACTTTTTCGTAACAGGCAGTAAAATCAGCGATTTTATATAGAACGGTAAATCTTCGTTTAAACCATTTTTTGTAATACGTGTGGTACGAACATTTAGTAAGCTTTTATATTTGCTGTAACAAATTTTATCAAAAAAATACTTGTTTCTGATCTCATTTTGTCTAATATTTTGTTANGACACAAGCTCCGGGTCTGGCACTTCTTCCGGCTCCAACACTTCATCTGGCAGCTGGACCGGCTCTGGCAGTAGCACATCTTCCGGATCTGACACAAACTCCGGATCTGGCACTTCTTCCGGCTCCAACACTTCATCTGGCAGCTGGACCGGCTCTGGCAGTAGCACATCTTCCGGATCTGACACAAGCTCCGGATCTGACACATCTTCCGGCTCCAACACTTCATCTGGCAGCTGGACCGGCTCTGGCAGTAACACATCTTCCGGATCTGACAGCGGATCTGGTTCCAACACATCTTCTAGCTCAAACACTGGCTCAGGAAGCTGGACCAGTTCCGGAAGCGACACATCCTCAGGATCCAACACTGGATCCGGATCTGGCACTTCTTCCGGCTCCAACACTTCATCTGGCAGCTGGACCGGCTCTGGCAGTAGCACATCTTCCGGATCTGACACAAGCTCCGGATCTGACACATCTTCCGGCTCCAACACTTCATCTGGCAGCTGGACCGGCTCTGGCAGTAACACATCTTCCGGATCTGACAGCGGATCTGGTTCCAACACATCTTCTAGCTCAAACACTGGCTCAGGAAGCTGGACCAGTTCCGGAAGCGACACATCCTCAGGATCCAACACTGGATCCGGATCTGGCACTTCTTCCGGCTCCAACACTTCATCTGGCAGCTGGACCGGCTCTGGCAGTAGCACATCTTCCGGATCTGGCACTAACTCCGGGTCTGGTACTTCTTCCGGCTCCAACACAGTTCTGGCAGCTGGACCGGCTCTGGAAGTGACACATCATCTGGATCTGATACCGGATCTGGTTCAAATACAGGTATTACTTGGGTATCATAACTTAGAGTTCCATAACCAAAATCCATGTAACAATGTATGCACAGTTTTGACAATAAATGACTATCTATCTATCTATCTATCTAAAAAAAACAAGTAAATAGAAAAAATCGTATTTTAACCGATTTTAAAAATCCTAGGAAATCTTTGCTCCTACTTGTAGCCAAAGCCACTATGACCCACAGTAGGCACCTGAGTGTTTCTGTGTTGAAAAAATAAACTATTTTTTTTCTTCAAAATTTTGTTATACTTTTTGTCGGCGTGATTAATTTATGTCACCGTAAAATTGTGAATTCCGTCAGATTATAATTTGACGTAGTTAAATTACAATCTAACCTAACCTAACCCACTGTTAGTTTACAATCTAACGCGTTATATTATAAACTGACAGAGTTCACAATTTCACGTTGACATATACATACCTCCACAAACTTACAGCTTTCTAGTGCCAATAGTTTCCAAGCAAAACCTCGGGCAGACAGACAGACAGACAGACATATCGAAACTATAAGGCTTCCTTGTCAGGACTATGAAAAACCCTTTAACTTGTATCAAGTAACATTTAACAAGTGTGACAAAACTAACATAATTATTTTATTTAATGCTTAACCTAAATCTATATATATAAAAGAAAGTCGTGTTAGTTACTCCACTTATAACTCAAGAACGGCTGAACCGATTTAGCTGAAAATTGTCAGGGAGGTAGTATAGAGCCAGGAGAAGGACATAGGATACTTTTTATCCCGTTCGAAATAAAAAAAAGTCTGCTTATTTATTGCCATTAAGGCGGAACAAAGTTCGCCGGGTCAGCTAGTCTATTATATAAAAGAAAGTCGTGTTAGTTACTCCACTTATAACTCAAGAACGGCTGAACCGATTTAGCTGAAAATTGTCAGGGAGGTAGTTTAGAGCCAGGAGAAGGACATAGGATACTTTTTATCCCGTTATTTATTGCCATTAAGGCGGAACAAAGTTCGCCGAGTCAGCTAGTAGGTAATAATGATGTATTGGATAATTTGATAACTTGATCTTGAAAAAATTCATGAAATAAGTAATTCAGAGGACTGAGTGTGAGTTTGCATCAAACGCGCTCACAATGTATGACGGATTGTACAGCGCCTCTAGCGGAAACTTTCAAGAACTAAAATTTCATACATTTTTTTAACGTTTGATTGTAACTCACACTCAGCCCTCTGGTAGGGCCCAAAAGATAAGGAGACATGTAAAGTGCCCTTAGGGGCTATCTTCTTTTACTGTATTTGACGTTCATAAGTGCCACTGGTGGTCAAAATTGAAAAAAATATTTCTGATTTTGATTTTGAAATGCAATAAACACATTTTGTCTTTGTCTTTATTTACAGGCTCCAGCTCAAGCACTGGCTCCGGAAGCTGGACCAGTTCCGGAAGCGACACATCTTCCGGATCTAACACTGGTTCCGGATCTGGCACATCTTCCAGCTCAAACACCAGTTCTGGCAGTTATACCGGCTCTGGCAGTAACACATCTTCCGGATCTGGCACAAACTCCGGATCTGGCACAAACTCCGGGTCTGGTACTTCTTCCGGCTCCAACACCAGTTCTGGTAGCTGGACCGGCTCTGGCAGTAGCACATCTTCCGGATCTGACACAAACTCCGGATCTGGCACTTCTTCCGGCTCCAACACTTCATCTGGCAGCTGGACCGGCTCTGGCAGTAGCACATCTTCCGGATCTGACACAAGCTCCGGATCTGGCACATCTTCCGGCTCAAACACTTCATCTGGCAGCTGGACCGGCTCTGGCAGTAGCACATCTTCCGGATCTAACACAGGCTCCGGATCTGACTGCACTGATGCTTCCAGTTACTCTTCATCCTCCAGCCATTCTGCTTCAGCCAGCCAGGCAGCAGCAGCTACGAAATCTAAAAAATCAATCCGTTCAGGTAAAGGCAGTTACGAAGAAGTTTCGCAGTCCAAAAGTGACAGCAGCAGTCAGACTGAAGCTGACAGCTCCACTTACTCTTCAAGCGATGCTGACGGTTCTTCTTATAGCGAATCTTCTTCATACTCTAGCAGCAACTCTGCTAGCGAATCCTCGAGCTTCAGCAGCAAAAAGGTCATCAAAGCTTAAAACGATAATTATGTTTTATTTCCATTTTCTAGGCCCGTATTGTGAAATAATCAGGTTAAAAATATACTCTTAAAGGTACGGGATTCCCACCTCTCGTTCCCACCGCTGCAACTAGTGTAGCCAGGATCTACAGCTTGACCGCCAATAACCCAACCAGTGAAGGTTAAGTTTGTCCCGGGAGTAAGTTCTGTCATTGGACCCGCAACAAAATTAATCAGAAGAACATAGGAGGAGTTCGACTCTTAAGGGTGATTTAAGGCTAAGAATGGTCTTACATATTGGAACTTGACCAATCAGACTTATTTGAAGTGAATTTTAAGCGTCATTTCAAAATACGTGCGATAGAAATTGTTGAAAGAATATTTTTGTATCAAAACTCTCGATTGTTTTTATTAAGAAAATTGTTTTGACGTTTTGGCTGTAACAGTAATAAAATTGTTTGAAATATACATTACTTGTTGATAAAACTTGTTTTCTTGTCTAAATCCCTTTCATTTCGATAATATTTCTTTATTTCTTCTACATAAAGAACTAGGTAGGCCACACTTTTAGATTCATAAGACACTTAGTGACTGAGTTTCTTGCGCTGCTTCTTCTCAGCACTGGCCCATTTATTGTCCCGAAGTAGGTGGTAGGGTTAATATTGGGACGTGTAAAAGTGCTTTTTAAAAGCATATTTGCAAAAATAAATGAGATTTATGAGTTTTAGTTTTACTCTTCTATGTATCAGGATGACTTTGCAAATACTTGCCAAATTTTTAGGAGCGACTCAGAATCAGAAACTCAATCGATTTAGGGACTGTTTAACTTTATGGTTCTCGCTGAAAACAGGAACACTAAGGGTGGGTTGCACCATCTTACTTTAACTTTGACAAACGTCAAAAATCTGTCAAACTCCATACAAAAAACACCGGTTATTGTTGTAGTTACGGGTAAAGCAAGATGGTGCAACCCAGCTTAAGTAGGATAGAAAAACCTTTATTTGACACGAAAACACAAATGAAAATGAACAAATATAACAAACATAGAAAAAAAAAAACATACGGGTCGAATTGAGAACCTCCTCCTTTTTTGAAGTCGGTTGAAAAGAAGAGAAAACACAAAAAAAAACATTAAACACACAACATTACATTAAACATAAATAGCTAATAATCCACCATTATTACATTACAAATATTCGTTAATGATTTTCCCGATAAGTACCTGACCTGACTGACACACCGACAACAGATGAATGACAGAAAAGAGGTTGACTTGAGTCCCGTACATGTTTTCGAAAACCATTCCTTGATCAATGATTTCTGCGGTCAAAAGAGGAGTAAGAAATTGTACATAATGTCAATGGTTTTACGGTCGAATATTCATTCGGTGAACTGCTAAAAACTCAAACGATGCGTTGGTCAAACGTGCATTGGTCTACAGTTCATTCGGTGAAAATTATAAAAGTGAAAAAAATCCATGGGATCTGTCAGTTGGTAAAATGGTTTTCGAAAACATGTACGGGACTCGGTTGAGACCGTGTAACAGACTTCTAAGGCCCAGAACAGACGTTGAAACGCAACTGCAACTTTCTGATGATTATGATGAATGAAACTGAAACTGAAAGTTTCAAACTGGTCGCCTCATGTGCGGTCTCTCAACGGACTATATGGCAGAAACTTAGATGCAACTCAAAAGTAACTAGCAGTTGCAGTTTCGTTGCAGGTGCGTTTCACCGTCTGTTCTGGGCCTAAGGTGGAGAACTCTATTCCTTTTATCCCAGATCTTTTTATTTGACAGAACATGAATGTATAAAAAATATTTTATCCCAGATCTGGCCTAAAACAAAAGATTATGATTACCTACGTCATGTCTACGAGCTATGTGCCCCGCCCTCTGCCATAATAAGTTTGGGAATTCTGCGGGTATTAATTATTAATATTAATTACTTATTTATAGTACACCACACACACAAAACAAGAATTTATGCGCAAAGGAGACAGTTTAATAAACACAAAATAATTCAATCAAAAATATTTATTCAGTTTAGACCACAAGTGACACTGATGACAGTGTTTAAAATGAGTAAGAAAGGGATGCTTTGTCGGTTACTGTGTGTCGGTACAATGTGGAAAAGTTCTCGAGTGGCGACCACGGGCCGGACGGAGGACGTAGTGTGGGCAGGCCTCCCACTAGGTGGACCGACGATCTGGTGAAGGTCGCGGGAAGCACCAGCACAGGATCGGTCGTTGGAAATACTTGTCCAGTTGTGGACGTCATTTGGCTGAAACCTCAGATAATATCTATGATCTGAGGCTGAAACGAACGAACGAAGAACATCCTTAAGTATTTTGTAGTGCAATAAAAACATGGAACTATAGTTGCCTATGCATAAATGTTAATAACAGCAAAACATATGAACAAATAAACGCATTCATAAATTAACTGTATTACGTAGGTATAAATTTGTAACTGGTAATCAAAATAATATTATTATTTTTTATTTTATTTTATTTTATAAAAAAGGTTCACCAACAGCTTATACACTAATACATATTAGATAATTTTAAACTTATTCTACAGTATCTTACTAAATGTAAAGCCACTTACTGGCGAACACAACTTGCATTTACATTAAGAAGACTCTAATAATAAATACTAAAATATACCATAATTACTATTCTTTGGTTATAAAAAGATATAATATAATAAAAATCTATGTAATGTTTTTTTTTTTAAATTAGCTAAGCAATAAAAGTAGGTATTAACATTGTACAATCATTAGCCATCCAATAATGTTTCTCGAAATTTACGTAATGACATGGAAAAGAGATCAATGTTTGTGGAGCGATTATATTTATTATACAACCTAAGCACTCTCGGGACTGGTGAGTTTGCACCTAAGACAGTTCTTCGAAACGGAGTAATAAATGTGTCTATTGGGTGGCGTGGCAAGCGCAGAGGAACACGAAAACGAATTCTCTCCACAAGTTTCGAGCAACACAACTTATTGTTTAAAATCTTATATAAAATGATTAGGTCAGAAAGGTCCCTACGCTTATCCAGGCTATTCATACTAAAAAGATATAATCTATCCTCGTAGGCTAAGGCCCTCCTCGCAATACCCCTGACGAAAGCAAGATGTCTGGTAAACTTTTTTTGAACTCTTTCTATCCGTAATGAGTGATTAGTGTAATGTGGTCTCCAGACAGTACTTGCATACTCCAAGGTGGATCGAACGAGTGAGTTATAGAGGAGAATTTTGGTTGAGATTCCAAACTCTTTGCTGTTTCTTATTAAAAACCCTAGTGCCTTTGATGACTTTTTAATAATATTATTTATATGAGGAACAAAAGTGAACTTACTGTCCATTAGAACACCTAGGTCTCTTACCACCTTTAACTCTTGCAAATCAATCCCATTAATAGAGTATTTGGTTGGAATGATATTATTTTTTCGTGTAAATTTCATAAGCGAACATTTTTTTACATTGAGATCCATTCCATTAATGTCACACCATTTCTTAAGGGAATCGAGGTCCTCTTGGAGCATAACCGCGTCATCCAATGAGTCAACAACTTTTGAAAGTTTGAGGTCATCAGCGAATAAGTATGGGATAGAGTAGCGAATGCAGGACGGCAGATCATTGACAAACATGTTGAACAAAACAGGGCCCAAGTGCGATCCCTGTGGGACACCGGACGTAATATAATGAGTGCTAGACGTGAAACCATTGACAACTACGTAAAATTGTCGTTCCTTAAGGTACGAGTCCAACCAGCCCAACATAGATCCAAAAAAGCCATAAGAAGAAAGCTTTTCGATCAAAATTTTGTGTGGCACCCGATCAAAAGCCTTGCTGAAGTCCGTGTACACCACATCTATTTGTTTGCTAGCGTCAATGGACTCTACAAGATCCTCAGCAAAGCTCATTAAGTTGGTACATGTTGACCTACCCTTCAGGAAACCATGCTGACTATCACATACAAATCCAGAAAAGTATTGTTGTAGATATGGACAGACTAAGCTCTCAAAAACCTTTCCTAAGGTTGGAAGAATGGATATAGGTCTATAATTTTGAACCAAATTATTACTATCGGATTTAAAGACAGGAACAACTTTAGCCAACTTCCAGGCTCTAGGAAAAACACCTGTATCTAAAGATTTGTTAAAGATCCAACTCAATGGCTCAACCAAGCTAGACGCACAATTTCTTATAAATATTGGAGGTAAGCCATCGGCTCCCGCTCCTTTGCTGACGTCTAAGCACTTAAGCTTATCCTCTATTTTGGTACAATTAAGGTTTAAATGAGAGAAACAATCACTGGTATATGAATATGGAATCGTAAAATTTATGGACAGTCTACAATCAAGACCTGTGTTAGGAGAGTCGTACACCGATGCGAAATGATTAGCAAACAGATTACAAACTTCGACTCCATCGGAAGTGGAAACGATGCCGTTAGACAAGGAAGAAGGATAGTTACTAGTACCGCCACGTTTTGTTTTTACAAAATTCCAAAAATATTTAGGGTTAGTTTTGATACTACGCTCAACATTGCCCAGGTAAGATCTATAACAGACCCTGATCAGTAAGTTACACCGCTCAGATAACAGACGATATGAAATTTGGTCAAGGGGATTCCGGTATTGTTTGTATTTTCTCCTGTATTTTTCCTTCTCCCGCAGTCTACCTACTAAATCTGAGCTGAACCATGGAGGGAACCTTCTATGTCGGGGTCCATACAGGGGA